AGTAAGCAGATTAAAATAGATAGACTGGGAAAATTTATTTTTTTCCATACCTATGTGTATGGGCTTGAACACTTAAAGGTGCTGATAGGAGAAGAAAAGGCTGAGGCATTTTTTAATTCACCGAAAATTCTCCAGTCTATCAATGCTTGAAATAGAAATGAAACACCTGAGTAGTTATGAGTACCACAGTAAAAGGGAACACAACCCCGAATGGAGAGCATACACTGAAGCAACTGCACCTTGCAAGTCATAAATAAGATTAAGTATGTAGGTATCCAAGGTGACAGGGATGAGGAAGCAGCAAATTGGTCTCTTCTACCTCAATCTTTTCACTCTTCTGTTTTGAATTCACTCTGAGTTGCTACGTTGGGACTTCAGATATTCTGAACAGGCGGTGCTGCACTTTCTGTATGTCATTACAAATTATGCTTAAATAAAGAATCTTAGGTTTGAGTTTTATTTCTTTGCTTATTTAATGAAACAACAGCCATATAGAAAGAAAAGTAGAAAAAGGATAAACATAATATTGATGCTATTTTATTCTTTTACTGACCATAAGATTCTTTTTACCTCAGGAACAACACTGACTGTCATAAAAATCTTGAGAAAAGGCAACATTTAGGCAACAACTGCCTAAATGGAACAGACGTGACCCATCCCCATGGCACTTCAAGGGAAAGGAAAAACCTCTATGTAGAACAAACCTGGAAACTTTTCCCATATGTCCATAAATGGAGTGTGCTCTGTACTTTAAAATCAGCAGTAGCTCAGAGAAACTAGGCATAGGGTTTAACCACAACAGAGCACTACGGCCTGGGTATTTTGGAGGAGAAAAATGGAGGGTTACATTTAGCCAAGACGCAATGAAGCACCACCACTGTTTCAATTGTTCTCACATTTTTTTCCTTCCTAATCATCCAGGTTCCAGGGTATCCTAAAGTAACACGTGCTTGGGAAGGCAGTTCAGGAAAGAGTGTCTAGGAAGGTCATTCAGTTGTTTCTCTGTCTTGCTTATGAGCAAGGTAAGAGGTTACCTTCATTTGGCTTAAACGCATGCAGTTCAGCTCTTATCTTGCCTGTAAAGGACTTAAAACAGAGCTGTGCAGAGAGTTCCCATTTTGCAAGGGATTGAGACACCTCAGAATCTGGCCTCATTCAGAATGAGATAAAAAATACTAAATATATATAGAAATTGATGATAGTATATTAGATTTTGTTTGTTTCATTATGTTTCTCTGGCAATTCCAGATTATACTTAATTAGTATATGATGTTGACCATACAGTATGTGAGACTGTGGTTTTAGCTTGTATAATCTGAGAAAGGTGTAAATTAATACCTTGTTAAAAGAAACAAATTGTTGCTTGCATGTTTGATGCAGCCCAGAACAAAACAGTATTTCTCTCGAGTACCCAAGGACCTGCAAAATAAAACAAAGCAACTCAGTGAGTAATCATCTAGAAACATGTAACGTGAGGAAATCAACTTTGAGTCAAGGAAATTGCCTTGACTAATTTTCRTGGCAGAGTTTGCAAAGAAGACACCTGAGAGCCATGCCACTTGGTGAGTCAAGAAAAGCTGATTCAGAGGCATCCCCGCTGGCAGAAGGATGGGTGGCTGGGCAGGGAACTGGGACAGAGAGCTCCTGGAGGGTAGGAAAACCAAAGTRTGCCAAGGCTAAAGTGACAGTGTGAAACAAGCACATCACCTTTCTCACATCAGAAGTAAATGTAATGTGAGCGCCTCGCTGTATTTTTTAGCATCCGAATGCTGATTGCAGCTTAAGGTAAACAAATGGAGCTGCCCTTTCTAATGCTGATTGCACAACAGGCGTTTCCAAAGCTCAGTGAGTGCTGGGAGGAAAAAAAGCTCAGTGAGTTTTCTCCTACAAAACTTCTACCCTGTGCACTGGCCTCCCCTCTGCTAACACAGGGTAAAGTCCAAAGAGAGCCAGGGGCACAGCAGGCCTTAAAAGTGCATTCTGGCCATTCCCCAATACTCGCAGCTCAGTTCAAGGTGAGGATCTGGAAGCCAGGGCTGTCCTCCGCTGAACAACGAGGTCCCCTGCCTTGCAGCCCTTGGCTTCACTGCCTCCCTCCATCCTTGCCCGTTTGCAGGCCTCTCTGGGAGCAAGAGCTCTGAGGGCTGCTTCCCTGCAGTGCCCTCTCCCTTGGGAGCCTCTGCTCCATCAGCAGCCGGGCTTTCTCCGGGGCAGCTCCCAGCGGTGCCGGCTGCTGCCCCCTTCTGCCAGGGTGATGGTCGGTGCCTGCAGATGTTAACAGAGCCAGCAGTCAGAGCAGAGATGATAATTAGCACATTAGGCATCTTGCCATATGAAATCTACTTAACTTCCAATTAAGTAAATTATCAGTTTACAAAATCAGCAGGGCCTTAATAGTGTTTACAGTATTATGGTAATTTTTTGTTCTGACCGAAAAGAGGAAAGAACAAAAAAACAAGGGTGATATTACCCCACAGCTGGCAACTGCTTTCAGCAGTTACGCACTTAAGAGTTTACCTTTACTTTGATGTTGAAACACACCAGACAAAACACAACTGGAAAACTAGAAACTACAGAATGTATCTTCCTTGCCATTAACTATCTGCATTTGTATCAGCTATAGCTATCCTCACATGGCAGTCTCTTAGCATAGAAAACTTTAAATAATGCATCATTCATTTAGGTCAAACTGTGTGATCCTGGCATACAGGTGTTTGTGCCATTTCTAGGATTAGGGCAGTTGGAACTTTTATAGAGAAATAGTCTCTGGCTATTTCCCAAGAAAAGCAAACTGTTCCTCCCTCAGACCTCCTCCAGGACTCCAAAACAAGATACACTGCACTAACACTTAGTGATAATTAGAACAYGTTTGATAGCTTGTCATTGCTTCCTATTTGTGAGTGTCCTCTTGGTTATGTGACTGTACAAGCTAAAATACATATCCAGTTATTTGCCATYGGGTTTAACAAAGAGCACCTTTATATAAATCCCCGGCGTATTTCCCCCTGCACCTCTAGAGTCATGCAGTCCGCTTAGTATGCTACTCACAGCCTAAATCACCATTCTTTTCATAACGGGAGACACTACCTCCCTGCAGATAAAGGGATTTAGCCTCCTTTAGGTGCAGAAAGAAACTTATGCATCATCATGAGCCAAAGGGAAGCAACGGGCTTCGGGCAGGTGCACTCATATCGAGTTCTGCAGGAGCTCAGTGACCAGGGCAGCAGTCTGCATGCTCTGCAGTTACAGGCTAACTGCAGCTACAGCCATCCTGCAGATGACACCATCCCAAAACAGATGCTGGGAGGTTGCGTGAAAASAGAAATACACTTTTGAGTTAATAAATGCACATTCAGAGCTTCTTAATGCTCTGTCAGCTAACAAAATTCAACTCCAGCATTCTTTAGTATTTCCAGCAGTCTCAAATTAGTAACTGAGTGCTAACTTGGAAGCTAAAAGGGAGGCAGTTTATTAGATAAGAGCACAGTGATGTTTAGCAATATTTCTCTTCCTTTTTCATCTTTGCCAAATTTTAACAAATAAAGACAAATGTCACAAAAGTGACATATCCAAGTATTGGCTATTCAGATTGCTCCTATGAAAACTAACAAGGTTACCTGAAAGTATGGTGAATCTTTTTTATAAAGGTGACCTTGTTTTTCTTCTGAGCGGTGAAGTTTTGACCTAGGTGAAAAGGTGACATCCATCACATTTTCTAATCACTTGCCTTGTTATGAGACATAAACAAAAATGTGACATGAAATGCAAAAGAGGCCCTATGTTAAGAACTACCCAGCACCCCTGTCACTGTAATGGTCCAGTGCAATTTAAAAGAAAAATAATGTGGGAGAAAATTTGTTCTCCTGTCTCTTCATTTATACAGGAACACAGGATTTTTCAGGCCAGATCACATGCTTGTTTGATGACCTACAGTCATCATTACTTAACCTCTAGACGTGACTGGAAACAGAATGTTTCCCTGTTCTTAAGTTATGCCTTATGGGCAGTTGGGCAGTGTTTTACATTAAAAAAAAAAAAAAAAAAGAATTCTTCCTTGCTGATCATACTGAAACATGAAGCCTGCTTGCTAACAATCCTGTAATGCCCCAGATATGCAGGTGACAGCATATGTGCCTATATGGATGTATAGCAATGTGTTTTTTGATGATTGCTCGAATGCATTTCTGTTGTCCATGTCTAACTGCTCCACCATACAGTCAGGCTAACTTTGGAAATCCAACAGGATTTTGGCTATTAGAGCAGAATGTTATTGGTCTTCTGTCTTCAGTTTAAGAAGTGTGCTCAATTTCCAGCAGGATGCACGAGGCTGCTCAAGGAGAAAGTCTGGTCAGCTTAGCAAATGAACAAGACCAAGCAATATGCTGGCATTGTAAGATATAGGTAAGAGCCATGAACTGGAACTCTGGGATAACATTAACCTTGACAAGGTGAAAAAGGGAGCAAAAAGGAATAGATGGAGGGATCATTTTAAAATCTTAAATATTGTTTGGAGATGAACCAAAACTGCTGGGAACTCTCAAAAAGGAACGAAGGAAGCTCTGTTAACGCTCGAGCTTCAGGGGCCTCAAATCCCATCTCAAATGTCACAATGTCGTTTCATGGCACTTTTAGTACAGCACGGGAGGGAAAATAAAAGAAGAAAAAGGAGAAGAAAATGGATTGCTTTYTGGGAAAGCCTCTCTCGCCCACTCCTGGATGTCTACCAGTCCTGTGACCATGTGGGGCTTGTTGCACCGCCTTGGGCGAGAGTCTTTTGGGGAGCCAGTCCCCCACTGGGGCCCGTGCCCATGGAGGCCGTTACTTCGCCGTTACTTTTCCAGAAGTTTCCGCCGCGTGGCCGTTGCTCCCAGCACCGGGGACAGCAGCGCGCGGCGGTTGGGGAGGGTGGGGTGTATAAGGGGGGGGGGTGTTGCCATGGCGACGGCGCGCGCGGCCCCGCCCCCCGGTTGCCACGGCGACGGCCTGGCCCAGGCGGCGCCATGTCGGACCTGGGCTCGGAGGAGTCCGAGGAGTCGGAGGCCGCGGCCGACCTCGGGGTGCGCGGGGGCGGCGAGGGGCAGGGCAGGGGAGAGCCCGCACCCAGGGGGGCTGCGAGGGGAGCCTTGTCCCGAGGGATTCGCTCCCGAGAAGCCGCCCGTTCCCTCAGGCGGGATTGAGCCGTGCCTGCCCCTCCTAACCGCTCTCCTACCGTGTGCGAACAGGAGTACGAGGGCGAGCGCAACGCCGAGGGCGAGCGGCACGGGCGCGGCAAAGCGCGGCTCCCCAACGGCGACACCTACGACGGGGAGTACGAGCACGGCCTCCGGAACGGGCAGGTGGGGCGGCAGCCGTGTCCCTCCCTGCAGGCCCCTTTCCCGGGACCGTGCACCAGAGCGGGAGCTGCCACGGGCTTTACCTGCGCCTCGTGTGTTTCAGGGCACCTACAGGTTCACGAGCGGCGCTCGCTACGTTGGAGAGTACCGTCAGAACAAAAAACACGGCCAGGGCGTGTTTTTTTATCCAGACGGGTCAAAATATGAAGGTAAAACACAGAGAAGTAACTGAAGGGACACATCTATGCCCCCACTGCAATGCCAGGAGATAGTTATTTGGAGCGTGTATTRTTTTAAAAAGATAAATTTGCTGTGTAACTCTCTCCTGTCATTCCTTTTGTACTACAGGCTCTGCAAGAGGCATGGATTTATTTATGTAGATTTATTTACACAGATTTATTTGGATTTTATGAGAAATTTGGTATCTAGTAGCAGTTTATTCTTTTCATGCCCTCAAGTGGTGTATGCCAAGTCCTGAGTAATACTGAACATATCTACAAATCACTACAGTCTTGTATAAATTAGTGCAGAACTTAGCTAGAATCTTACATGATAACTGTACAACTGTTCATTACACTGCACAGTGAAATATATTGCATCTTTTTAATTCTTTTTTTAATTCTCATTTAAGGTGACTGGGTGGATGACCAGAGACATGGCTATGGARTTTACACCTATGCAAATGGAGACAGCTATACTGGAGACTGGTTTAATCACAATAGGTTTGTTTCATTCTTACAGTGAATTTTTCTCTTCACCCCGTGCCATTAAAATGCAAAGGTTATTTTCAAAGTCTGGCCTACTGTGTCAAACCAAGTGCAGTGGGAGGACCTTTACCCTCCTCCCAACATGAGTCACTTCAGTTACTTGAATCATACAGGTGTAAAATCCTAAGTACAACAGCATTCTCTACTCTTAATATTCATCAGTACAAAACAAAATTATTTCTTTTTTGCTCAGGCATGGGCAAGGAACGTACGTCTACAAAGAAAGTGGATCTAAGTATGTTGGTGGTTGGATAAATGGAAGCCAGGGAGGAGCAGCTGAACTTATCCACCTAAACCACCGTTTTCAGGGCATGTTTTTGAATGGATATGTAAGTGTGCTGGAAAATTCTATATTCATATGAACAATTATCATAATAATTGCCTTAAAGTGATCTCTTTCTGCTTAAAATAAGGCACAAGGCTTCCCATCTTYAGGACCTTTTCTTAAACACTAATCTAGTGGATGAAAGCTTCAGGACAGAACACAAAGTTTATCAGCAATCTTGCTTTCAAACTGTTACTAACCATTGTATGAATTTCACAGTAAAGCATATTTTATGTCTATGTGTTGAGAATGTACTAACTATAGTTTCATTACTTTGTTTCTTTGTGTAGCCTATAGGTCGAGGCAAGTATGTCTTTGACAGTGGATGTGAGCAGCACGGTGAATACATACACGCAGAGCAGGTAAAAGAAACAGTGCAAACTATACTGAACATTAAAGAACTTGGTAAATTAAGTGTACTCTCAAGTAATCTATAAAATGCCTTAAACTGAGTTGAAGTAAATCTAACCAGGGGGGTGGGGGGCAATGGGATAGAGATTCCTCCAATAGGCCCCTCACAGTCACTCTGTTTAACAGATAAACAAAATTTACCTCTAAGACAGAAAGCTGAAAGACTTTAGTCATTCCTCGTACTCCACCAGCTTCAGGGTTCTAAAGCACAGCTCTTCTTTTCCAAGATTTGCAGCTGCTGAAGTTGCTTCACTTGGCAGTGGTTTAAAAGGCTGTGTCATTATCGTTTTGGATCTGGGTAAAGAGCTTTTAGTACACAGAAACATCGTCTTAACCATCCCCTTACGCATCCCGTGGATGTGATTCTGGACTTTTTGAGCTGTCTTCTAGGCTAAAGAGGGGGAAGAAGAGGAGGAGGAACAGCCATTCTCTGCTCCACCCAAGTGGAAAGCAGCAGATATTACCAAAGTAACACTCTGGACACCCAGTGTGGAACAACCGCCTTCTCCCACGGAAACCTCACAAGCAGCAGCACCAGCAGAAGAAGGAACAGCAGAAGGAACAGCAGCAGCAGAGGAAGAAATGCCATCAAGTGCAGGTTTGCTCTGACGCACATCTGGAAATATACTTCAAACACTGTTCAAATATCACTTGAATCCATGTTACTCAGTCTTCATTTCTGGTGGTATAAGAGGCCTTTTAAATTTTTTTCCTCATCATCTACAAAACATTGGGKTTTTTTTTCTTTATAATTTACCAAATATTGAATATTAGGAACTTCCAAATGTTTTCATAAACTGCACAATATGTACCTATGTTTTAGCTAGCATAATAAGACACATCTCTCTCGGGAAGCGTGTGATTTGTTCTAGTCTATTTTATGGCCTGGTATGCAGACAGACAGATAAGCAGTTGCAGAAAAGCATTTCTCCCCAGAACTGCAGATTTAAAATCTAAGTTAGTAGTTGCTGCATAAAAGCAATGGTCAGTTGCAGATATGTAAAAATTTTCTTGCTTGAAGGAGACCTATTTCTAATTTCTCATGTTTCAGTCACTGATGAGTCAGTGGAAGGTGGGGATGATGAGCCTTCTCCTCACGAGGCATACAGTGGACCTTTGAGCGCAACAAAGGAGGCAGAAGAGGTAGAGGAAGAGGAAGAAAGCAGAGAAGAAGAAGAAAGCAAATATGATCAGGARGATCAAGGTAAGAAAAGAAGAAAGAGCAATCAGGTTGGTTTTGTGATGTGATGCATGCCAGTCAGCTGAAAACATGATACTGCTGAGAGGCTCACTGTTATGCTAAGGAGAGCATAAGAAGCTCCGCTTTTCATGCCACTCCTGTAAAAATAGCAGCTGGTTTTAAGTAGTCAAGTTTATACCTATTTAACTGTTTGGATAAATCACATTGTATCACATTGGTATCACGTTGTTGTGCAGCATTGTCTGCGCTTATAGTTGGCAGCTCACAGAACTGCTGTGACTCTGTAATCAACAAAACTGAGATAAGTGATTGCATTTCTGTGCAAAAAAATGAGAAAACAGATTTCAGAACCCAGTTAAAATGTGTAGCTTGCAGTTATTAAATGTTAATGTTTTTGCAAAGCTGCATAGTTGATGCTGAAAAATATCAGCTAATTTTCTCCATTTGTSATTAGTCCATATCATAATGAATCAAAGCAAAAACTGAGGTGAGAAAGACTATTATATGCTTTGAAAATACTTTAGACAGTTATCCTGAACATTTAGGGCAGCTCTTTGGATCCATGTAATTTACTTATTCTTTGCCCATCACCTCTGGACCATTTCTGCTTCAGGGCAGACTAGCCAGGTAGCTGGTCTAATGTGTTGAAGTAACACCTAACAGCATCCTAAGGCCCAGATGAAATCTCACAGSAATCTGAGGAGGGTTTCTGCAGAGTTCTGCTTTGAATGTAGTACAAGTTCATTGAGCCTGGTTTCTCCCAGATTGCTTTAGATTCAAATAAACAATTTTGAATGAACTTGATCGTAACATTTTCTAGGCTATTCCCATAAGCCAGTTCAGGAATTCCCCTTGGGTTTTGTTCTTCTGGAAGAAGASTTTGGACAAATCACGTGTGGAAGCATAGAAATGTGATAGATGTTCTAGAATCTCATTCTAACTCCTTAATTATGTTAAAAAAATAAAGACTCTTTATTTCTGGAATTAATGAGGCAACACATGTTCCTTTTATAGGTCTAGCAAAATCAAGTTATATTACAAGGAAATGACKATAAGAAAAAAAAAAAATGTGTTGTCCCATAACAATCACTTCTTTCCCCCCAACAGAATCAAAGGAAACAGAGGAGCTGGATACAACCACGGAGGGATAGAGAAAAAAAAAAAAAAAAGAATTTTCAGAGTAAACTCTGTGGTATGATAAACCTAAAAGATATTCTGAATAAAAATTTCTGTTGCTGTTCTGTGTGGAATATCTATTTCCAGCACTTATGATCTCAGAATATGCTGTTTTAAGACCACTTTCTTTATTCCATGTAGCAAGTTGTCAGTTGTTGAATTCAGAATGGGATTATTCTGGTTCTTTGAAGTTTCATGTATTCATGACAACATCCATGACATCCATATGTCCTTCCCGTTCAGGGGATCTCTGGCTTCATCATCCCATAAATCTCCTTTTCTTTCTGTAAGGTGTTATCACCACCCTCTACGGTACAACCTTAACTCTCCCCTCACCAGATTTGAAGATCTGTAGACAATGATGCTCTTACCTCACTTTGTTAAGTGGGTCCCATCTCTTACTGCTACTCCAAGATGACCTGTTACGATAGAAATCAAAAAAATGCATACAGCAGCAGCAAATGGGTTGTTACCTCTTGGGACTAGGTCAACTCTTACTTCATCCTTTCCCATGCAGGAGGGCATCAAGATCACTCCATGGACTCCCATGTCCTTTGCCCCCTCAAGGCCTGTAGTCACTCTTGCTTTGCTGCAGGTTTCCTTTAGCAAAATCTTGATGATGAGCAAATAGTAATGGTTGGAGATCAAGATCATCTTTGGTCATCCCTCCATCAGCCAAGCCCTATTGCTTGACCACAAAGCAGCAAGTGTCTTACAGCATCATGCCTGGTCAGCAGATGGGTGCCTCCTCAGCAGGAGACATCAGGACACTGCCACTCATTGCTTCTTCTAGGTGTGGATGCTCAGGTCATGTTCAACTGGTCCAGAGGGCCTCCTTAATTGCACCTATCCCCTTCCCRCCTGTCAGGACCCAGCACCAAATCTGTGCTCAGGCCTGAGCTTGGAGAAGGAACCCTTCCTTCTCCTGCTGCCAGGAGTCACAGGCTTCCASTGGCCTCCCTCAGGTTACCCCACCCCATCCACCATTCCTGGTCAGAGCACATGGGCTGTCCTCTTTGCAGCGCCCCTGCAGGAGCTCTGCCAACCTCCCACACACTCCACTAAGAGACACAGCCCACTCACGTCCTCCTCCAGGCTCTTCACCTAGCCACACAGCCCGAGGTCATGCACASCTCATGCAAGGAGGCCACCATCACCTGCAGCTGCAGGCACGGGCACCCTGCTCAAGCCCCTTTCCACACACCAGGGCCATGCTGGAGTCCCACTCAGTGTCACAGATGAGGCCCAGCAGCCCATCACCCTGCTGGGGCACAAGCCCACAGTAGCTGAAGCAGAGCTTCACTGCCACCCTACTCTCCCCTCAAGACTTATCTGCTTTATTCCCACTTTCCAGCTAATTAGTTTCCCTAGCAACTCATTGAACAGCAGGCAGTCAACAATTAAACACGCAGGACCTTTTTAATCAAGAACTCGTTAATCAAGAAACAGCTAGCAAGTGGTACTAGTTGCAGAAGCCTCCAGAAGCTATTGGGATTAACAGGCATTGCATAAATAATTTAGGAAGTTGGAAGCATGGAGGAAGGTAGAGCTACATAAGATATTGCACAAGCACTATGYTCCATGGGTGGTCTTTTCTGTTATTCTGCAAGTGAATAAAGCTGCTACAAAGCAGTTTTTCTACTATTTTTTTACYGCTTTTAAGCTATTAAACACTAGCTTGATTGTTTGTAAGCACATGTGTCAGACTTTTAACTGGTATTTTGATATTGTTGGAGTATTAGTATGGATGATGATGGGCCAGGACCTGAAGTAGTAAGTTACCAGCCTGTAGCAGCTTGCTTTCGAAGTAAAATGACTGGCTTGGCCCTCATGGGGTAAAAGACATTGAATGAATATTGCTAGAACATGACCTGTATTATTTTTATTCTTTGTCTCAGAACAAAAAATCTATACTAAAATTTTATTTCAGCAGAAAAGCAGGAAATATTTTAACAAGTTCCTTTTCTTTATAACTCAACATTTTTGGAAAGATACCCCCAGAAGTGTGAAAGTTATTGATAAATATTGATTAGCAGGAAGTAGTGATAAGGAAACAAAATATATGAAATAAAGAGAGTTTATTAATTCTCCTGGCAATTTTTCTGCTATTAGAAATGTTATGAGAAATATTGTCAAGAAAATTCCTACATGATCTTTTCCTTCCTAACTTACGTGTCATTTTGTTTGTAATTTTTTGTCACAGCAGTGTGACTTCTGTGAGCCCTTTTCAAAGTGGTKGTTTGTTTTTTATTTACTGAACATCTTTTCCTTATTTCTTTGGTTAATGGAAGTACTGCATTTCAATATTATTGTAACTAGATCAAAGTAAACTTGGGTTTACTTTAAGAGTTTTATCTTTTAATGAAACCCTACAAATCATTATTTTATCTGCATGTTTTAATATATTRCACTACAAATTCTGCTGTAAATTTCAGAAATATCTGCACATCATATTTTTCCCTACCAACTTTCATTTTTATGATAGTCTTCAGTTCAAGCTAAGTTAATTCTTCACTAATACATGAAATTACCTTTTTCCCCTGCAGCAGCCAGTGCTTTTTATTAGTACAGGAGTGGCCTCTAGTGGCGTGTCTATGAAAAATGTATCCTGCRTGGAACGCAATCAAGCATTGCAAAAGGCTAAGGCCTTTTGAAAGTCTAATATACTACAAAGTGTTCCTGAAAAGATGGTTCACTCCTTCAGGAAAATGCCAATGATTTTGTTAGCAGAGCATCCTATTTCACTCTAAGAGCTTGAAATACCTTAAGGCTAAATTGTAAGCTGGTTAATAGTAGTAAATTGTAAGCTGGTTAATAGTAGTACCTACATACCCTATTTTGAAGAGAGAGGAAACTCCCTTGAAAGCTTGCTTTGCTAAGGTGTGCTAAGCCCCTCTCCCTCATCTCCCTCTTCACTTTTCAGTAGTAGGAAAAGACCATTTTCAACAGTATTAGATCACTCAAGTTTGAGACGATTTCCTAAATAATGTATTAAGTGCTCAATACTGAGATGCTCTGTTGAACTTAAGACTTTGGATCTTTCCTTCCAGCTTTTCATCCTGAGATTATCACCCTGAATGTCAAAGGCAGCACAAGTGCTCTCTAAAAATATTAGATCATTTAAACTATACTTATTTAATAATGATTTAGCTGCCTAGTCTTATGCCTATAAACCTGTGAACTATAAAACAATATGAGTAAGTTTGAGGTCAGGACTCAGTAATAGTCATCAAAGTATGAAGTTGTTTATGAAAAAAAAGATGTTGAGAGTTCATCTGTACTCCACAAATTAGGAAATGCCATCATATTTGACTTTCAGAGCTGCTTCTTCCCCAAAGAGACTAATCTTTGCAGAGCTGGCAAGGAGGTTGGTCATAAGAATTTATTGGACATAAAGGAAGCTCAAGTCCTCTCACACCAAGGAGATCTTGCAGTGTACCTATTTCTACCTCAAAGTGCAAGTATGTCTCAGAGACGAACTATTTTACATTCACAGATTATAAAGGAAATAAGACCTATTTGACCTGTCATCAAAAGCATTCCTTTACCTCTTCAGTCCTGCTGAGGAAATTTAAACCATTTTCTACAGCACTGTCATCTATTAYTGTCAGCAAGGGCAATTATGGGGTCCTGCGCTTGGGAAGGAATAACCCCAGACACCAGAGCAGAGTAGGGGTTGACCTGCTGGAGTGCAGCTCCACAGAGAGGAATTTGGGAGTCCTGGTGGACACCAAGTTAACCATGAGGCAGCAGCGTGCTCAGTGTGGCCAAGAAGG